TAGAATTAATTCGTAAACATAATTTTGGTAGAATTTAATTAATAACTCTGGTAAACATAATTTTGGTAGAATTAATTTGTAACATAATTTTGATAGAATTAATTCGTAATTTCGTATTTGACATGTGGTGTGATTATTTTGAACAAATTTTATTCTCCGACGGCATCAAGATGCCATCGGAGAATGAACTGAGCATGCTAACTTTTTAATATTTTGGATCATGATGTAAAGGATGCAAACCAGACTTATTGTAAACCCTAATTTTTAAAAGGATTATTTGTAGGGCAATTAGTATTCTCTACAAGTATACTGACCTTAACTATGTTGCAACTTACATTACGAACATCGCTAGACGACTTTTATGATCAGTGTGAACAAAAAGATGTGTCTCTTATGATTTCTTTGGAAACTTTAAATCGAGCTAATGTTTATTTATATAGCATGAAAATAAATTTGTAATTTTAAAAAGGCAAGCTACTCAGTAAATGTTAAGTGTATAATATATTATATATCCTTAATTTATTAAGCAAAAATTGTTTTCATATAGAAATAATACACACTGCACTACTCATGTAATAAAATTTTAAGATTATATTCCCGTTTATACGAATTAATTCTACCCTGATTCTACTGTCATTTTTATGCTTACCAGAATTACAAATTAATTCTACCAAAATTATGTTTACCAGGGTTACGAATTAATTATACCTAAGGCGAGACCAACTGAATTCTGTGTTTTACATTACCCCCCTCCCCAGCATCCCCCTCTCCCTCATAGTAAAAAAAATTTGATAAATATATATAGGGCTTCGGGCTATTTCAGAAAATTTTTATATAGTCACGGAACAATTCGGAAAAATTTTTTTTTGAAAAAAAAATTTTTAAAAATTTTACTATGTAAACAACAAATCCTCTCCCTCTTCCGGAGGGGAGAGGGGGGTAATGTAAAACACAGAATCCAGTTGGTCTCGCCTAAGTTATGTTTACCAGAGCTACATTTTTTATGTTTGCTAGAATTACGAATTAATTCTACCAAAATTACGTTTACCAGAGTTAAGAACAATTATACTTATTACGCATCAATTCTACCAAAATTAATCCATTGATGCTGAAATACTATGACGTGTATTTAATCTGGTATTGGATACGTTCACATATCTAATGAATTGTAATCGTTCTATTCGTCTAATGGTGAAGACAAATTATGATATGCCCTTTTGAATGTCATGATTAAAAGGCATTTTTATAGCATTAGTAGATTTAAATAAAAAAGCATGAGGCTTTTTAATATCGATACTTAACTGACTAATCACGTGACTTATTTCAGAATCCATTGATGCTGAAAACTATGACGTGTATTTAATCTTGTATTGGATACGTAACATAACAGTTCACATATCTAATGAATTGTCTTATAAATTCTGCGAAAGTCTGAAATAAAAGAAAGCTGCACAGCCAATCACCTAACAAAGACAGTTAGTGGCTTATATTCAAATTACCTAACCAAGACAGGAATGTGCGATCACTTGATTGATAGCGGTCATGCAAACTCATTCAGTGTTTGGGTTTATGGATATCAAAAAAGCTTTGGGTCTCTGATATGTGAGCAATTCGTTGAGTCATTGATACAACCATTGATGAATTCTTTATATTGTTTAGATTTAAAAATAACGAAGAAATTGGCAACCTCCTAAATAATTACTTTAAGGCTTTCTGGGTAGCAACTTCTTGAAAAAAAGTATTAATATGATAAAATAAGAAAAAGCTTTAAGATAACAATGTGAACAAATTATCATTATAAATACAAGTAGCATAACTCTCTTTATTTATTTCTTAAAATTTTTGCTTATAATTATGAGATCACTTTTAGATATTAATAAAAATAAAGCAATTTCCATATGCATGTCAAAATATTGCAAAAAACTATTTAATTTCATCTATAACATCACTCTGGTTTCAAAAGATACAGCCAGGGCGGCCGCTGATTTTACGGGTCACGTAGATAGTGCCACCTGCTGTATTGCTGCAAACGGATCAGTATTGAATCTATAATGCTATCACTATAAATTTGACTCTGCATGCATATTGCTTTATTGAAGATTTGATGGTGCCACCCACATGACCTGTAAAATCGGTGGCCGCCCTGGTTGTATCGTTTTGAAAGATATCTCCAAGAACGAAAGTAAATCATAAATTAAGTACTTCATTAGTGACGCGTATTATACCAATATAATTGTAAAATCAATTTTGAATTAAAACTATATGGAAATGCATCAAGGTTTTCCTAGTCACAACATCGTTGTGAAATAAATTTTTAATTAGGTCATTTAAAAATAAATTTTCATGACGAAGATAATAAATTTCAAAAAAATAATTACTTACTTAATATCTTTCGTTCATGGTTTCCATACCTCGAAGTCTACAATTATTAGAGTAGTTAATTTAGTGTTGTGTTGTAGTATATTTTTGTTTTACGGAGAATATTTCACTTCTACAATGTGTAGGATCGCAAACAGAATTATAAAAATTATACGGTTTATGAAAATGTGTTAATGTTCCGATAGTAAACTATTTAAACACAAGGAAGTCACATCAAATAATATTCTTTAATTTCGAACTCATTTTATTCTCCTACAGCATCAAGATGCCGACGGAAAACGAACTGACTTTAAGATATGCTAACTTTTAATGAATTGTAATATCACAATGAAATTTTAAACTTTTGAACATTGATGTTAAAGCAAAATATACTTGTAATTAAGCATAATTTGTCTAGACTTTGCTACATCATTATATAATTTTGACCAAAATTGAACATAATTTTATAATTCTAAACCGCTTCTATTTTCGCCTTTCCTGACTGTCTTTTGATTGTTGTATGTTTTTGCATCTTGAACAATAATTTTGGTCTTTACCACAAATAAACCCACATTTTGTACATTTTTGCTGATGTTTCTTGCAAAATCCAGATTTTTTACAACTTCTACAATGATGGTTACTATTAGGATTCAGCATAGAGAAAATAAATAACAAATTGCAATAATAATTCTCAAAATTTCAGAAAAATAATTACTTAATATCTTTGGTCACCTTATCTCTTTAAATGAATAAATAGTGAAATATTCGAAATAATTTGCTTTAAATTATTTCGCAATCATTGAATAATTTCTTACAATGTAGTACAATTGATAACGGGTCACATCTCTACCGTAGGAGAAAGAATGGAGTCTCATTACATTTTTCTATTAATATTCGCAAACTCTTATTAATCAAAACATTTGCGTTAAAATTCTAAAATTAAGCTAATCTTGTATTGTTTTAAAAATATAAAATTTTAATCAATTCATAATTGAATTTTCATAATTTTCGTTAGCAATGGAGAGTTGCCATAGTTTCTTAAATTGCATTCCTGAGAATTGTTTGATATTCAATACATAAATAAATTAGAGTTGCTTAATTAAATTTAGCATACATAACAATACAAATATCTTTGTAAGCATGAATTAATCAAATATAAAATTTACAAATTGTATATGATTTTATGACTGTTAAGATGTCCAATAATTCTCCCAGTCAAGAAAGTACAGAAAGCGATTCAGAAAATTCTATCGAACTAAATGTTAATTTGGATGCTTTACAAAAGTCCGCATCAAACGTATTTCACGTACAATGTACCTCTATACAAGAATTTAGCAAAGGTGGTTTTCATAAAGTATACATCTTAAAAATGGAAGATGGTAAAGAATATATTGGAAGAGTAGCATTCCCTGTATATCTACAATGGAAGACAGAAAGTGAGGTAGCAGCTATGGAGTATATTCGTTTAAATACGACTATCCCTGTTCCCAAAGTTTATTATTGGAATAGTTCTGTCAATAATTCAGTGGGAGCAGAATATATTTTAATGGAACATTTACCCAGTATTCGTCTTTGTGACATCTGGAGTGATCTCAGCATAGAAAAA